CTTGAACCCACATACATTTTGGTCAATAGTCCAACAGTGTTTTAAAATAATTACATTACTTAATATACTTATTAAAGTAAAACACAACGTTAAGTGCAAAATAATTTACAATGAAAATATATGGCTTCTACACCAGTAATATAAAATGATCAGAAATATATAATACTATTTTTCAGAAGCTACCGTTACAAATCATACAGCAGATTCTATGCCAAACATTGTGAATAATGACAAAAGCAGAATTACAAAAGTCCTCGAGATAATTAATTTAAATTTCATTTGAAAATGTTCAATTCAAACCGACTGCTACGCCACCGCAGACACTTCGGCTTCTCTATCACTGAGCTTCACTGAAATATTCGACAAAAAAGAAGGGAAAAAATCTGATACTCAACAAAATCTTACCTAATAGAGTAGTTTTTCACAGTCTATAATTACAATGAGTATTATTTTACTCTCCTAATTTACACCAGGCGCGAACGTCATGAGAGTTGAAAGAATAATAACAAGACCGAAACTTGTATGCTGATAGCATGTAGAGAGAACGTTACGAAAACATTTCTTGGATGTAAATTAAAACCCCTTTCTGAAAAAACTCCAAGAGTCAGAAGACTTTCGGAAATAATGAGTGACTAAAAATAGTTCCATAGAATATGAATAGTTTTCTCCAATTTTTCGTACAATGATTGGATGAATCCTCCTTAAACTAGATTTGTATTTGATATAACAGAAGGAACATTCAGTATATCGTGCTATAAATAATATAATAATAGGTGAATAACATTTCTTTTCAAGTTCATTCAAAAATAGACATATTAAACCGGCTTTCTCCTGCTCTAAAACATTGTTTCAAAATCAAAAACTCATATTGCCTATTTTTGACTGTCAACTTCACGACTTTAACGAAAGACGAGAGTTGAAACCCATATTTTATATACAATTTGCCTTTTGGCTGCCAATAGGGATGATTCGAATCACAATCTCCATCCATGTATTTAAAGGGAAAAGTACTGAATTAGTGGTTTAAAGGATGATATTGAATCATTGTCTGATATTATAATCATATATAAATTATACCTTATATTATCAAAGAAAAACATAATGCCTTAGAAATTTGTTTAAATGACACAACACCAATCGTTTTTTATACCATCACACCTCCCCAAGAAGAGAAAGTATCGAGGCTGGAGAAGGATAAATGACTATACAGAGTAAAATATGACGCATGAAGATAACATAACTACGAGATCGGTGGGTTGTGAATTATGAGAAGGGAAGTATATAATCACACAATCGCATACAATAGCTCTCTTCGGAATATTTTTTGAACGAGGGCAAGCTATAACCAGTGATTTACAACAAATTTGCAAGCCATAGCAGCAATATGTCCGTGTCTACGGCGACTTTTACGTTGACAGCAGAAGATACAATTAAGCTTAAGAAAATAAAGTTTATAAAAAGTATTTGGAGTGAATAAAACAGTAATTAACGAAATCAGATGGAAGATTTGGTGTTCTTAGTTGAATTAATTTAATCTGGTTGACGAAACCTCATATGCTGCCCCACCCAACTCCTAGTACGCAACACTTTCACAAGCATCCAATACCTAACATACAGTAGCCCGGGAAGGCGAAGCGATAGTACGATAAGCGGCCCATTAAAACACACTGATCGTTCTCATAGGTGGGCCAAAAAATGTTCGTTCTGAAAATGTGTGCTGATTGTGTTTACAAACGAAACGGCACGATTTAATGAATTATTAATACGCTCTGCAACTTTCACTCTGATTTATTACTTTCTCGCTACGAGATACAGAGAAAGTTATGTAATGCAGCGCCAATAAACGGCCAATTTTCGTCTGAAAACTCTTATTACAGGGTCCTGGAAACGAAACTGTGGATAAATCCAGTTGCTAAATTTAAAAAAATCCTAATACGTGATGTAGACAGAATGCGTGTTTTGTGAGTCCTTGATACCAAAAAATCGAAAGACGGCAAAACGTCTGTCTGTCCGTCCGACTGTGAACAACGTTAGCAGTTTGACGCACGTTTAAGAGAAAGGTGTAGGTGTCGCATTCCTTAAAAATCCAGATGTTTCGAAAATTGCAAAAGTTCAAAATCTTTTTGACTTCTTTCTACAACTAAAATATTATAGACAAGACATTTTTACTTTCATGAAACCCGTTCCTTCAAGATAGATTTTGAAGTAAGGTCATGCACAAATTTTCGAAAATTTGAGTACTTTTCGCGTAATACTGCGTGAAAATACGGGCGAGAAAGTACGTGCTGTTGTAGCACCACTAGTGGTTTTTTTCGTTGTAGATTCCTCAAGGCGCAGTCGCCACTGATGTTCATATACTTTTAATCCAGGACGACAAAATACCCAGTAGACGGTATCCTGTCGTGGCACTCATTTCCCTTGCTAAACCATTTCACGTTTTTGCTTCATAGTTAAACTGAGCTGCGGTCGACGCTACGCTGCGACATTGTCTGCCAATGAATCGGAGAACCCACTTTCAAAACATCTGCTCAACCACAAAGATTTTTTCTCTTCCCTTCTACCATTACGTCTAGTCGCGCAGAAGTTCCATTCTTGGAATCACTAAACCTTCTTAGTGCGGAAGGTGTGCATTTTTTGTTTGAATGATAAAATCTTAGCTGGAATTACTCGAATTATTATAAGGCCTGACGTACAGACAACAATAACGAGCGATGATTTTTTTCTAGCGGAAATGTTACACTGTAGTTGTACCAAGGAAAGAATTAAATATTAACATCCGTTTCCCAAGTTCCGAGAATTTTAAAATCACTCGCCTCGGAACATCTATTGTAGCAAAGTCCAATGAAGCTGTTCACTTACAGCCCCCTCTTTTTACTGCAGTTTTTCATCACTTCGCAGAAATATTGCCCTGAAACTGCTCTGTCAGCCTCGTAGCTTTGAAGTTTTGCAGGTTTCGATGTCATTTCTTTCCGCGAAATCTGAAGCGTCTTCATTCAATATTATGATCCCTTTTTGGAGCGCTTGACGCGCCGTTGGCTTTGGAGCGAGCGAGCGCGCCTTTTGCGTAGCGGGGCTCCAGTTGTTTATGCCGCTTCATTCTCAGGTAGTACCTACGCTCTACGGGGGAGCGTGGCGCACACGGTACCAATAGCATCTGCTCTAAGCCTTCGTCCTTATTTATTCCAGAGGCTTTGAGGCAGCAGATTCTCATTGCACTTTTGATGTAGCAAAGCTTTCCGATAAAAATAAGGTAAAAACATCGTATGTCTTGCTTCCTACGAGGTGTTGCCGCCCCGTCAAAATGCGTTGCGGCAGTCGATTGCTACGTATCAGGAGGTTTTTTATCAATTTCATAAGCTGGATAGATAAATCATACATAGAACTTGAAATCAAACTTATAATTTCAGCAGCACACTTGGACGATTATACTACGCTGTTTCGTATACAGTTGTTTGGAATGGTTGAAAATAAAATAAATCGCTGATTGCAAGAACACCGTAAGTTTATATTTGGTGAAAAATGAGGTAAAGGCAGACATGGTTATTTTCTGTGTAAATCCATCAAACAATTCACAAGGAATCAAAGCCACCATTTCCAACCATGTAAACAGAGGTGAAGATTTTAAGGTGAGTGCGAAAACACCAGAAGTTCAAGACTTACGTTATTTTTCTTTTCATTTATTCTAATTACAATAATTACTGATAATGCTCTTTAGAAGAAATCAACGCGATGCTGATGTTAGCATTGTTATGAAAATGGAAGAAGAATCTTCTGCCGGTACATGTGGGAAGCACAGTGTAACATTTCTCCGAATATCGAAGAAATAGTACACAATCCAGAATAATAAAACCGTAGTACAATGGCACACAGGTATTTTATTGTGGAATTTGTGGTCGGAAACAATAGATTTTAAGAAGAGTTGGCTATCAATTTATACGAAAAATCCCTTGTTTACGAAGGCCTCAATGCCAAATATTCCAAGGGCTATATTTCAACCTTATTATTATAGTTTTTGTTAAAATTATCAATACTAGAAGTTGTGGAAGCAATGCAGGTCATTAATGAGCTTAAGTACAAATAGTTTTCTGGAAAACGAATTCATAAGAAGAATCCACAATTGCCAAATAAAATATATTACAGGGAGTAGAAAGCTGAGAACAAAGGGAAGACATTAAAAAAGGTGTCTTAAAAAGTAACAAAGGAACAATGTACTGCCTCATAAATAAACATAGCTAATTCGCTTTAGAACTTTTAAGATTTTTAAATAAAAAATGAAAAACAAAGTTCACAGGATAAAAATTATTTTGCAATTCACACAATATAGCTGGTTGATGTCATGTATTAACAATGAATTTGTCCAGTGCAACACTTGCATAATGTTAGAGCTGCGCCTAATTATTCATAATTTGGGATATTGCTATATAGAGCATAGAAAACGATAAAAATGACTAATTTACTTAGTTTATATCCTTACATCCCTGATGAAGGGCGATAGCCGAAACGTCGGCGATGTAAAGGGTTGGTTTTTTGTATGGACGTAAACATAAGAACCACATGGCATATAATTCCAACGGGTCAACAATCACTTAATAAATCACATTGATTTATATTTCAAGGTAACTACACTAGTCAAAAATATTTTCCTAACGTGACATATGGTTGAGCAAAAGAAAAATGAATTACTGGTTTATCCACTTAGGGAGCTCCGTCACTAAATTCAATGAATTTATTCATTCATTCAATGGCCATTCAATGGCCATTCAATGTATCCCCCTCAATCAATCTATCTTTATGGAAAGCGATTGTTCAATGGTCATGTACTATGTGATTGAAGTGACTTGGACTACCATATAACATTAACCACATTTGTTGAATAATGTCCAGAGGTAAACAATGAAATAAGTGACACAATTCCTTACGGTGAAGCTCCAGATAACTGTGACCTCTAAGTCGCGGAAGGAAGAAATAGAAACCAAGAAGATGAATGTGAATTATCTTACCTCGAACTCCCCTTTAAGTTGAACCTCTGTTGACGGGTATATCGTCGCACTAAATCCGTGCCTTCATGGATCCACATGTCATTGAAATGGTGATGGAAGATACCGTCGTGAGTAACTCCAGCTGTAGGCTGCAGAAATCCTAAAATAATAAATATAAAACATTGCTGGTAAACGTGTCGTCAGAAATTCAGTCTGGCCTCAATATCCCTTAATCGTTGCATCTAGTAAGGAATAAATCAGAGTACTAAACAGAACCTATTCATGACCTGCTCTAAAGGGAAATGAGAGTAGAAGTATACGGGCCACGATTGAAGGAAGACCAACAAGAGATTTTTCAATGAGGAGGAAAATATTTGTTTAGCTCATTGCTAAAGAAATCAGTTTCACATCCATGTTTATATGAGATTTCTTTATGTGCTGCTGTTTGGAAAGAGTACCCAAAATTTTATTTATTTAACGTAAAAAACAAATCAAAACATCTGTGTGACGAATGGAACAAAAAGTACTATATTTGGCATGTGTTCATATACACCCTTGATTACACATCTTAAGAAGGTATAATTATCAAATAATTTCATTTTTTAAACATTTTTAATAAAATATTTATAATTTGTACATAAAAATATTTTTTGAGCAAAAATTTCAAACAATTATAACATACAATGACAACATAATGCACACGTGCGTGTGAAATGATTGAACTTACCCTAATACTCATCAAAATTTCCTCAGAAAAAATACATCGGATAATAAAAAGTCAAAAGTTATGTATATTTTACTCTATTTTATCGCAAAAAGAAAAATTACGAATTTTATTCTTAAAAAATTTGTTCCGCATTCATTTAGTACTCACGAAATGAATTTAAAGTAATAATTTGCCATGGCATAGGAAATAATATTAAACAATATCAAGAAAATGCAATTTCTGAACGATTTTGTAATTTCTCGAGTAATTAATAATTTTTTTTGCCCAACAGTCAGCGGAACGACGACTCCAGAAAACGTAAATCATCAATACATTCAGCCAAGCCCACAACGTTCCCAGAACCTGACCCCCTTTGAGCATCTCACTAATGCATTCATCCTACTGGTCAAGCCCGCCGCACAACACCAATATCAGCCCTGGTTATTCATCGGCTGTATCCCGAGTTACGGAAGATGTCCTGTACTCAGTTAGGGGAAGATACGGAGGGCTCACTAGCCATCACATCTAATATGGTGGGCGTCCCCGCATGGCCACGCGCTGCTGCTTTGGTGCGGGTGCAATTCAGAACAGGTAATGAGGTGGAAGCGTGGTGGAAATGGTGAATCTGGTGATTGTGTCGTTAATGGCGGTGGTGGCAACTGCGGTGAGGTTAGTAGCCGTAGCATCGGCGACGGGTAAATGAGGCGTGACCGTGAAGGCGTGATGACGATGGAAAAACAAATTCAGCAAGTACTCGTGGAAGTGATACAGGACACAGAGTAGCGGAATTGATGCGATGAAAAGTTTGGTTTGTTGTCTACTTGTCGGAATTTGTGACAAGTGGTGCCAGGTTGCTGTCGTAAAGTTATTTCCAATGCGCGCCGAATTAGAAATAAAAATATGCAGGATCAGTCCATGTGAGAAGTGTGTATGTCTTTGTTAGATAGCCAAGAAAAGCTCGGAAAACAAAGCTGGTTTTATACGTATAATATGGAGGGCGTTCAATAAATTGAGCATGAATATGAAATTTTATATTGAAACTAACTTCATAAGTTTTGAATACAGTCCCCGTTGACTTCAACGCACTTGCTCTATTTTGCATCCAGTGATCGATGTATGTTTATGCCCTACGTATGTTTATGACACAAAGAAAAGTCAGCAGGGGTATCGTATCACGAGTCGTCACGCACCAATGGCACTATGGCTCGAAGGTCACATATGATAAATGTATCTACACATCGCTCTCCTAACTGCTCTGCTGGAGCAATTAACAATGACATGATTGAAAAATAAATTACTAATTATTAATATATTGAAATACATTCCTTAAAAATACTGCTTTTAACACCTAATTCACATCATTCTCCTTCTAAAGCTTCCAAAGCAATGCTTTAACCATTCCCAAAAGTTTAAACGAGAGTACTTTTTAAGTGTCTTTCTGTCATTGAATTAGGCGTAATGTGCGCAAATCTTTCGAAACATTTAAAGAAATAGTGCTACAAAATGGCACAGACTTACGCCTACTAGTTAGTTTTCTAATTTCTTTAGTCTGGGATAACTTTTCAGATTAGCCACAGACTCTTGCCAGCTGCCATCTATCGCCGCCTAAAATTCATTTTATTTTTAATTATGATTTTTTCTGTTTCCTAATAGTAGAACCGAAATATTACTTTAAGAATATTAAAGAAGAGTAAAACCTCATCATATAAGGAAATTTTCGATGAATTTGGAGACTTTTTTTAAGAAACTGGCGTTAAAAGTAACTGTGTGAAATTGGATTATTTTTTTCACAGAAATCTTTATAACTTTCGAAAAGCTTTATTGCAAATCATTTGAAGCACGTCTACTCGCTAATGCAAGAATGTACACAAATTGCAGGTAATGTGTATATTATACAGTAATTTAATGTGTATAAAGGCGTAAGAGCTATTTAAAAAATGAACAAGAAAAGAATACCTCAAAATGAACTTTATGTCCTTTTAAACAGCGTACATAGCACTCTCCGCACGAAACGTTTGAAGAAACAATTTGGAACCGTTTTTGAGAAAATGGCATTTGAGTGTTTCTGTAAATGCGGAATTTTTAGCTCAATTTCACGGAAAAATTGTTGAGTTTCCGTGAATATTTATCAGACATCGATTAAAGCATGCACTCGTAAATGCAAAAATGTGAACAAATCTCCTCTAATGCAAACATGCCTTAATATAAATATATAAATTAATATAAATAAATATATAAGAATATAAATATAATATAATATGCCCAAATATAAAAATCTCCTCTAATGTAGGAAAAAGACATGCGAGACAAGTTAAAAATTTTCATTTTTGTAATTTTTGAGAAAACAAAAGATTAGAGGAAAATTGTGTTCATATTATCTTATAGAGTGCATTTACGATTATCCCTACCAAAAGTTTAAAGAAAAAGTTTGGTGCCTTTTTGATCAAGTTTTTTTTTAATTTTTTTTTAATATTTCACACATTGCCCGCAATTTTGCGCGAAAACTACTCAAATTAACAAAAAATGTGCATGATCTTAATGAATGAACTAATTATGTACAAAAAATATTACTTGAAAGAAAAATTTCTATCTTCAATTTTGAGTTGTAGGAAGACTAAGAAAAAATTTCAATGTTTTGTAATTTGCAAAAAATCAGGTATCAGTGAAAATCAGACCTATCTTTACAAATGCTTTTCATTCTATTCTTACAAGAAATATAAAGAAAAAATTTGGAGCAATTCCTGAGAAAATTTCAAAAATGTCCCAAGGGCTTCATGTAAATACTCCGAAAAATTAATGAATGTTTTTCAAAATCTCAGAACTTCGACTAAGGCCAGATCGAGAAAGGTTTATTCAGTTTGGAAAAAAATCCGACGCGCTTGATTTATTCACATACATCAGATGGACAGAGAGACGGTCAGACCGACGTTTTGAAAAAAACAACATATTTTCGGTATGAAGGGTGTGTATCAAAACGTGTATTTCCGTTGAAATCTTGTAATCGATTTTTCGCAGCATTACATAACTTTCTCTATACTACGTATATTACTCCGTGTATACGTACGTGTACAAGAAAGTAAAAATTGAGCAGACTTGGATTTGAATCGCAGCGTTACCGTATCGTATCGCGGGTATCGATCGCGGGCTGTATCAACAGAGCCATCTTATGGAGATGCATTAGTCGATCGTTTTCTGCGCTGTAATGTATTCCCCTAGGATTGTCTTGTAATACTCTTCAATTGAGCTAAAGACGTAAAAAAATAATTTTACAAAAAGGAGCAGGGACGGTGACGAGTGGGGGCGTGAGGACGATAGAGCGCAAAGGGAGCTAAAACGGGGGTGGGGCAGGACGAGCCGGAGGGTGAGGACGAGCGGTGAAGAATGGAAAGTTTAAACAGTACGAGGAGAAAGGGGTGGTGTAGAACGAGCATCAGATTGGACATGAAAAGAAAGTGAGCTAATGCGAGCGGTAGGCTAAGGCGGCCCAGACAGGGAAATCTGAGTGTGGCTGCAGTCGGATACGGATATCGTCCGGAACGGCGTGAAACGCGACACAGACGTTTGCGGAGCAGTGACTCGGAGCTGGTCGGGCGAGATGGGGCTACGACGAGCGAGCGCGAGGACGATCTGTGGCGAGGAAACGGGGGTCGAGGACGAGCGAGGCAAGGAGACGAGTTTACAAGGTGTAACGAGGAAGTGGATATGTAGAGCGGAAGGGAGCAGGAGGGAGATAAAAAGAACGTGAGCGCACCTGAGGGGTAGGCGCAGCCAGTCCAGGCGCCGCAGTCTGAGTTCGGCTAGAGTGGGATGGGGAAGCCACCCAGGAGGTAACGGCGTGAAGCGTGACAAGGACGGAGGCGACACGCGGTTGATAGGGCGAGACGGGGTTAGGGCGAGCGGGGGCGAGGACGAACGGGCGCGAGGTCAAGCGAGGTAAGGTGACGAGCCGTTAGGGCCCCTTCCCACGTGCAGCGGGCGTCCGCTGCTGCGGCAAGCGGTGGCGGACCCCACCGCGCGAAGTGCCCGCCACCGCTAGAAAAATATAGCGGCCCTTTCCCACGGCGCTACCGCGGCGCGCTTCGCAGGAGCGCGGCGCGTAGCAGAGCATTGGTTTGAATGGAGGCCTTCCCACGTGCAGCGGGTGGCGGCTGCGGCGGCAGCCGACGCCGAACTCCAGGTACGCGAAGCGGAGGAGGGGGCACGCGCCAACGCTAGCAGAACACAGCTTTAAATGGGAGCCTTCCTACTGCGCCACGGCCGCAGCGTTCTACCTGCTCCGGTCCCTTTGTTCGTCGTAGCCGGAGGATCGGCGAAACTTACCCCTCCAGACCCCACCCCCTTCTACGGCGGGCGGCAGTGCGGCCGTGGCTCCAGCGTGGCTGCGTCGGAAGGGCTCTGCTGCTTGAAGGAAGCGCGAAGGCCGTGGCGACGTGGGAAGGCGCTGTAAATGGGAG